TGCAAACTAATCATTCTCACTAAAGCTACATTTCAACTCAAATTAAAAAGAAAAGAAGAAATGAATCAAGAATCAATTGTAAATTACCTTTCAAAGGTAGCTTTGGTGCACAAGGGGGTATTAGAAGCAAGTGGTTGTAGAGTAATCGAATACCCATCTTTTGAAATCTAATCTCTTGCAAAGTTGAGGTGAGAAATGAAGGGTTCAAAAAACCCAAAAGCAAGTTTCTCACTCGTTCCCTTGTAAAAGAGCACAAGATCAAATCTTAAACCACCCCAAAAAAAAAAAAAAAAACACATTAAACCAATGAAAATGAAAAACACAGACTTTAGTCATTTCATTGCATGAACGTGTAAGTAGCAAATTGTAGCTTACCTAGTTCTAGTTGGCCGGAGTGAGTGGAAACAAAGCATGATCAAGGAGTGTTGTTGAGTCCATAGCTAGAAAACTAAAAAAAAAAAGCTTGATAACTTGGGGGAGTTGGACATAGTTAATGATATTCTTGAAGTAAAGTGGAAGCTTTGGTTTTGGTTTCGTGTTATAATTGGGAAGTGTTGGCAAAAGTGCAAAGTTCAGTCTTCAGAGTCAACGAACGTGTTGGCAACAATGTTATCAAACATGTAATTTTGTTTGTAAGAATGAACAAGTGTACATGAATGTCAATGAAAGAGACAGCAAAGAGAGTGAGAGGGGAAGCGAGGGGAAGACGATGAAGCCTTGAACATGCACAGATTGATTGGAAAGTGAAGGCCTACAAATAATTCTAACAATAATTTTTTTTTCCATGTGAAAGTCCAATGTTACTATAAAAAAAGAATTATCATGCAAATGGTCCCTCAATCTCAATCAAGTTTCAATTTCTATTGCACGTGAAGGGATGTCGAAAGAGGAAATCCAAGAAATTAAGTGAGTTGAAATTTGTAAAAATCGATGGAAGGTTTGTAATGATTGATAGGTTGTCATGGTGTTGTTGGGCTATTAGAATTTCGGCCACCAAAAGTTTCCTAGGAAAAGTAAGCACCGAGTTGCTTTTTATTTATCATCATAATAATGCATATGCTCTCTCTTTTTTAGTCTTGTAATTGTTTGCTAAATTTAACTATTTTGTTAAAAAGCATGTAATTTATTGATAAAATATTAAATTTTTATTTTTATTGATTGGAGATTGAATGCTAATAATTTCAAATATAAAAAATTTAATTGTTTAGTGGATGATTTAAGACTTGCCAAATTCAATTATAATGTCCCCTCTTAAACATTTGAGATGGTAACTTAGTAGAAATTTCATTTGAAATTTCTGCCAAGCAATATAAAGATTTTTAGGAAAAAAAAATTGAAATTCATCTCTTATATCTACCCTAGCTAGGATTTGTTCCTTCGTATTTTATATTTGCTTGGAGCCAACTATGAGACAGCAAATCTTAGCTAGAAATAATGACATTTTCCAATTAAGATTTAAGACCATTCCCTGTATTATTCTGTTATATTATTAATTTATGGTACATGTGTGGTTAAGAATAAGCCAGAAATATCTTTTCCAATTTCAATTTTCCCCTACAATATTGCAACTTGTTTTGAGATTCTCTAACATAAAAATCCCATTTCCCTGCAATTTCACCATGCCCCAAGTTGAATTTTTTTTGTTTGTATATATATATTTCTCTTTTCTATGTTTTTGCTAACCCAAATTTAAGGGCAGGTTATAGTCGCATTTTCTAGGAATTGATTTCCTAACATGAGAATTTTTCTTCATAATTTCACAAGCATACCGAATACATCAACCATGTGCTTTTGCAAATTCTAATTAAGGGAAGTTTAGACTGTCATCATAGCTGCCAATTAACGGTCAACTTTAGGCAAATGACTTTCACAGATCAGTAAAATTCCTTCCTCCTTTCCTTCTGATCTCTTTCCATCCACAAGACAAAGTGGGTGAATTATATATATATATAATCCTGTGATTGAAATTGAATTGACATTTGTAAATTCTACTACAAATTAAACTGCTGTAATAACCTGGAAGTTACAAATCTGCTATTGTCTATGGAGAAAAACAAAAATTTGAAACAGAAACGTCCTTGTAGAATTGCTAGTGTTCAAAGAGAAAATTTGTGGATTCATTGACTTCCCTTTCTTTTCTTCAGGGTTTTCAGAGTAACAAGAATTTAAACAACACTTTCTGATAGAAATAGCAGCTACCCTGTTAATGTTTTCCAGTCTGAGAATTTAAAGGGAAAGTGCAAATACCCAAACAGAGGATGAGGTATAATATTCGATTTCTGAAACTGGAATAGAATAAGCAATGGTTTACTTGACTCCGTCTGAAAATTTAGCGGTTTGGGTTGCGAGTTTCAGGCAAATCTCGTGTTGATTAGTCTCATATCTGAATGACTAAAAGCTTGTGATTAAGTTAGAAGACGTGAAACGTGAAAACTCATGTTTTGAAAAAACTCATCCAAAGACAATTCTTATACTTGTAGTGGAGGTATCCACAGGGGCCAGACCAGACCAGTCAAGAAAGAATTCAAAAAAAGTTGATATGAAACCGAGTTTAATTTGATTTCCACATTTTCGAGTTCATATGACCAGGAAAGTTAGGCTTAAGAACTAGTATTTAGTCACAGGTAATTTGCCCTAAGTTCCTGTTACAAAGAGGACTAAATCAAACAAAGTTATTTACATTTTCTCAAATCAAATAAAATTGATCCCATAGTTCTGATTGAACAAAATCAATTGATCTTGGATCATCCGAATTTATTTGTACGATCTAACATAAACATCTTATATATTCTATTTTATTTGTGTTTTATATAAATTTATCAACCTGAAAAGTCGAAACTCGAAAAGATAAAATAATAAAAAAAGAATTATAAATGTTAAAAATTAAAAGTAAATGAATAATTTGAGATATATTTCAAGTTTTTTAAGGGTTATACTTTGATTACATTGTTAATGAGTTTCCCTTAAATAAACAGAAAATGAAGGTTTATATGGTCTCAATTGAATCTGAAAATAAAGTCTACGAAATGGTCAAATAAACCCTCAATTCAATAATTTTGTTGTCTGCAGGAAAATTTTATAAAAAAAAAATCAAGTTTATTAATTTTCTCAGCAACTAAGAAATTTCGGCGTTTCGGTTCTCCACCTATGTTATAAATTTCCAAATCTTGGCTATCAAGCTTTCTGTAATAACCAAGAAAATGTGATTCACATATGCAATCTTAAAGTACGACCAATCAGAAGCTTAACTTTGTACTTTTTTTTATCCATTTTCGACACTATCATGAAAGGTAAACTGTCGCCATCTTTTCCCAAGAAAAAAGAAAAATCTGTCCCCTCCCTTGTCGGCATTATTTAAGAACCACGTTTTTCAAGTAGTGAGTCAGGAAATTCAAACTATACTTTTATAAACAACAATTCCTTAGGATTCATTGGTGATCTGTCAAATTTTGGTTTCCTGAAATTAAGCTATGTGATATAATTATGAATCCGATCTTAATTTCACATTTTTCAACGAACATTTTTATGAACAAAGTGCATGAATGATATTAATTACTAATTTATTATTCTTTTATCATCTTGAAAATTATTATGACCACGCTTAACTAATTATCAAAAATAGTCAAACTTATATTTCCATCTGAGGTAATTACTTGTTTTTATTTGTTGTAAATCGAATTGATTTTGCTTGATTTGTAGGAGTCTTAAATTGGGATTTGAATATAACAAATGATCTAGCTTTTTGCTTTTGCAGACATACGTAAAATTTGCATGCTTCATGAAAATGATTCATTTATTCTTCATTTGGAATGTCTATGGCCCACACTTTATTATGGCAGTGTTTCTTAGTTTTTACCAGGTTTTTAATGGGCTCCTAAAGTCTTTGTTGGGCAATTTTCTTAATTAATTGGTATTATTTTCTTATTTTTCAGGAATTTCTTTTTTTTTTTTTTTTGAAAATGATCATTATCATGAAAGGAAAAAACCTGAAATTCTTGAAAAATAATTAAGAAAATAATAAGAATTAAGAAGAGGAAAATTTATGAGTGTGCTTAAGTGTGGAGATTAATTATTTTCTTTAATTATTTAAAACTAGTCCATAGAAAATAAAGGCCGCAGCACATTTCCTTGTAATATACTTAATTAGGCTTGGTTGGTTTATATTTCCTGCATGAATTATTAGTTGCATATTAGACAAGAATATATCATCATCAAGGCAAATTTTTTATATTAATTATCAATAATATTAGTATAATAATTTTATATTTACATTATGAATCATTACCTTACTCGATTTTTTTAATACATTCATAGACCTTATAATATTATAAAAAGCCTCACACTTAAGTATTTTTTTCTTTTTACAATTAATAAGTTAAAAAAATGGATTTATTGATAATAATTTTACTAACTTTTTAAATATTTTAATAAAGATAAAATACAGAAATTATTAAAATTTTGAGTTTCATAATGATTAAAATTAATTTTCAAAATTTCAACGGAAGCAGCTGTCCCCAGTGCCCCCACCCTGAATCCTGATCATGATTATTATTAATCACCTTTTTCGTTATAAAAAATTGGATTCAATTTGAAAGAAGGAAAAGGGGACTATGCCCTACATCATGTCATTTTTGTGAACCAAATGGAACCAAAAAAAGGTTTACACCCCTAATCTTTTAATATTTCAAATTTCTTTTTGGTCTTATATATGAAATTTTATTTTAAGAACATGTCATAGGAGAGACTATGTCAATGAATCGGACACTGAATAAAAAATTACATATTAAACGTGTTTGAAGGGTTATGCAAATTAAGCGGCTGAAAAGCGTTGAGGGGTCAAGTGATATTCAAGGCTGTTTTTTTTCTTTTTTTTTTTTTGTTGCTGTCAAACAAAAACCGTAGAATTCTAAAATTCTTCGCTTGAAAATCAAATTTTATCAGATGATTTAAAACCTATAAATACATGATCTCGATCAGCGTCTTTGTCCCGCTCAGGCTTTCTCCAACAACTTCCAAACAAAAACAATAAAAGCCAAAACCAATATATTCAACAACAATTATTTTTCCTCTTTGCTTTAGCTTCTCCAAGGAGCCATGCAGAAGCGTTGTTTTTCATCTGCCAATAACTTGTGCCGCAAAGTCCTTCAACCCCGAACCTCATTAATCCAGGCAACTACCATACCCCCTTGCGATATCTTTATTAACCATCGTGGGATTGATACAAAGAGAACCATTGCAGGGTTGCTTCATGACCATATTTTCAGGATGGGGCTAAGGCCTTTCCTGGATAGCAGGAATATGAAGCCTGGTGACAGGCTATTCGAAAAAATCAATCCCGCTATCTGGAATTGTAAACTTGGTGTAGCAATCTTTTCGCCCAACTATTGCAATTCCTACTTTTGCCTCCACGAGCTTGCTCTCCTAATGGAGAGTAAGAAAAGGGTTATACCAATATTTTGTGACATGAAACCGTCTCAGCTTCAGGTTATGGATTATGGAACAAGTTCAACCAAGCAACTGCAAAGGTTTAGGTGGGCTCTTGAGGAGGCAAAGTACACCGTTGGACTTACATTTGACACTTTAACAGGGTATGAATACCTTTCCAAACTTCTTTTTTGTACTAGAATTGACTTAATCATTGAATAGAATTTCTGCCTTTAGAACCAATTCTGGAGAGTTGGGAGTTGTTCTAATTTTTTTTCCATTTTTGGGTATGCAGTGACTGGTCGGATTTCTTGAATACTGCAACCGATGCTGTCATTAAGAACTTGGTGGAGTTGGAAGCGGAAAATTCAAGCAAGAAAAGTACATATATTGTGCAGGATCGTCAATCAGAATGAAGATATTCTTTATTCGTTAAGGCATTAGGTTAATTTCTGTCTCTAACCCCTTACGTTTTCCTTCAATTCAATCATTTTTTCGTATAGGAGGGAACCAAAAGGTTAAATTCCTAAACACTTGATGGGGAGATCTCCAATTTTTTTGTAAGATTAATTCGTCTTCTTCCTTTTTTTTTTTTCGATCTCCCATCATTGACAATTAGTGAACAAATAATTACAATTCAAAACCTGTTGTAACATGCATTAGGACAGAATTAATATTCTCTTGTAATAAGTTCAAGATTCAATAAAATTGTTTTTTTTTTTTTTAATTTCATCACCATTCGAGTAAGCCTATGTCTTCTCTACTTCTTTCTTCGAGACTTGAAGATGTTGGCAGAAGGAAACTGCGAGGACAGGATCACCGAAATTTCAATAATCAATCTGGGTTGATTCCCAGAAATTTAATGTTGGAAAATTCCCAGGACTTTGCATCAGTCTATCACCGCAATCTATGGAAGTTTTCACGAATTTCTTTCAAATTGTTGTTTCATGGCGGGAAAATATATACTATTATATAAGTAATTAACGTGTAGGATATATATATATTTATATACAGGGCTGATTTTTTTCTCACATCAATTTTATAGTCTGATAAAAAAAAGGTGATCTTTTAATGAAAGAAAATTGAAGTAAATTATTGAACTGAAAAAAAGAAATAATATATAGTCTAGTATTCTATGTATCATCTTTTTTTTTCCTTCTATTTTCCTTATCCTATATCAAATCACTGAACAAAGAAATATTGTTTTTCCCTTGTCCCTTTCTCAAATTATTTCTTTTCCCCCATGAAGCATAATTGAAAAATTATAGAATTAAATGAAAAAATAAATAAAAGATTACATATTTCAAAATGATGTATGTTTTTCAAATGATGTATGTTGGTGTATCAACGTTGGCAAAATCTTTTCAATGCTAAATGGGATAAGATCTATTAGGGTTGACTTTGGGGGGTTGAAAAAATTACTGCTTTTGATGCTAATGCCAGTATCACATGCTCGTCAAATTCTTTGACTCAATTTAATTGCCAAGAAATTATATGGACATTTGCCCATCGTTTATTGCAAAAGAAATCAAAGCACGCTACAAATAATAAATTTCTAAATTTCTTGTTGCTGATGAACATACATAGTAGTATATCAAAAATGGAAAGTTATAGGCAAGCGCAATATTTAATCAAAATTATTTTTTTTAAAGAAAAAATTGTAACTTAAAAATAAGGGAAAAGTTATAGATATTATGATTTGATTTTTAAATTTGTTAATTGTCAACTTTGAAATATAATTATATAAATTAATTGAATTAAATTCTAAATTCAAATATATTTAAAATTATGTAGTCTCTTTGGTCTCCAAAAGGCATACTTGGGGGAGGGGGAATTGAAGATGAATGAGATTTTATATAAATTGCTAACTCAATTTTCTTCTTGTTCTCATGATGGAAGATGACATTATCTTGTGTTTCTTTTTTCCATACTTAATTTCCTTTCCTAGCTAGGTTTTCTTCTCTGACTCTCTCTCTCTCTCTATATATAATTAATACAAGTGGAGATGGATTGAATTGATATTACTTGAAGAGCTGATTTAGTTAATATAGTAATGTTTTACTTGGGTTTTGACTCAAATGTTTAACCAACCACTTTTGTCCCTAATAATCATGCGAAACATGCCTTTGAAAACATTTAGGTTAGCAATAATTTTAATCTTCAGCCATTATCAATTGGGTTTTAAGTATATATCTAGCTTAAAAATCTATTAAAACTCGTTGTCATTGACCAAATTAAATATATATGATTGTCAGCTTGTCATTTCTCAGGTGTGCTTCAACGATGAAACAAACTAAACAAAGAATAATTAAAGTAATGAAAACTTTAATTGCAGCTGAACGACATTTTATAATTCTAGGAGTTTTTGTCTTTTGTATTTGAGGTTGTTTTGATCACTAAAGTTTAACATTCTATTAACAAAAAACGGGAGTTAGCAAGAGTTTCTTCCATGTTTATAGAGTTATTCTAGCATATCCTTCCGGCATATTTGATCCACGCAGAGATTTGACAAAAATGAAAATAAGGGTTTTGTTTGATCCTATTCTTTAAATAACATATATATTAAATTTTCTTGGATTAGTATGTTGTTGCAGAAATAGTGACTAGATGCTTGACACCAACACCATGCAGTTTACAGCCTTCGGAAAGCACACTCCAATTACTTCCATTTTCTTTATATTTGACTTTGAAAATTCTAACAGTGGACCGACACCCTTCAATCTGCAGTCTTTTAGTGTTATCTGTTCGTTAGAGTAATTAATTATGGCTTGAAACTATTAATAAATGTATACTTAAAATGAATGAAAATTCCCACGAATTCTATACTTATAAACTGAACCGTCTTTTACTTCACATCAATTGCCTACACACTGCTGAATAGGTCTAACCGCGGATTCTTGGAATTAATCCTTTCACCATTGGTCTTTATATGACTCATGCTATATGTATATTTTAATATTGCAGCATTAATGTTTAAAATAGAAGACCATAGCCTTTAATCTTCTTGAATAGGACCATCTAATTCAATGAATCTTTTTTAAACCCAATTTTAATACACGACTTTGAATTTCAAATTCTTTCTCAAACTCCTTGATTTGGTTGTTGGGTTATTTATTTATTGTTTTCCGAAATCTTGTGACCTCTTGCTATCAATTGTTTGTTGACAGAGTAAATATTGTCTTTGCCTTGGGTTCTGTAATTCTATGAATTGAAACAGCTTAGCTGTTTCCTCAGGTTTTGACAGACACCAAGAATCCGTTAATAACCCTGAAATTGCTGAATCAGAAATCTTGGTTTAATGTCAGGATTTGAGCTAAAATTTCACACAACTACTTGCTAGGTAGTATAATGCTCATGTTTTAAGAAAGTAACTTTGATATTCTTTTCAATATGGACTTTTGCAAGTTTATTTTTCCCCCAAGAGCAGCATATGCTCTTGTTTCAATTGGTTTGGCAGGACTTGGATACAAGTATGTAAATCTTGGTATGAATCAAAAACAAGATTTTCATAATTTTTTGGTCCATACCTATGGATTCTTTGGACAATAACCAGCAAACTGTAATGGTGATTGCTTGATTTTTCACCTCTTTCCTGATTGGTTGTGTTAAAGCAGATGACTGTTGGGCTGAAGGGGAAAGAGAGAAGAAGGGTAATTTAAGGGCCAAAGCCACTAACTTTCCTTCGGGCATTAAGGCCCTTGCAGAATATATATGTTCTTGCCAAAGGCTTGAAACTTGGGATATATGCTGGTGCTGGGTAAATGTCCCTCAATTATTTTAATAATGTATATAAAATTTATTCAACTTATAAAACGAGTATAGCAAAGTGTTTGAAAGTTTAAACTTTGTTCGATCTCCACAGTAATAGAACCTGCAGTGACAGAGTGCCTGGCTCTCTTGGGCATGAAGATTAAGATGCAAGAACTTTTGTTGAATGGGTTGGTGTCCTTAAGTTCACAGGATTCCAGCTAATGGGGCCCCCTTTTGTAAGGGTTTGACTACTTAAATTTTCACTAGTTCCTGGCATGCTGGAAGTGGGCAATGGAGTGATGAGTGTTGAGGAATGTGGGTCTCATTTTAGTATTTGGGCTTTTATGAAGGTGTGTCTATTTGCACCTGATCTGTTTGATTATATATGTAGTAAAACTTTAGCTAGCAGGCTCCTATGCTCATTGGATGCGATGTTCGTTCTGCAAGCAGAAAGACTCTAAGGATCCTTGGAAACAATGAATTTGGCATTGTCATGGTACAAAAGATCAGCATTGAGGGATTATCTTTTGCAAAATAACACTCTAGATTATCTTTCATTGAAAGAATTTAGAAAATGCTACAAGGTCTATATATTTCAACAATGACAATGCCAGATTGATTGTCTTGTGATATGAACAAAGCATGTAATCTCTGGCATCTAAAACCAGCTGTTCTTACCTAAAGAACAAGTGAGTTGGCATTAGGAAAGTTGCTGTCGCCATTTAACTCTGCCTATGAGACCTAACCTTCTATGAAATAGGACACCAACAGCTCCATGTGTGTGCAAGCCGCAGCTTGGGCAAATCTGAATATTCAAAGATTTAGTTGCAAAGAAGAAAAGCCAAAAGAGAGAAAAAGAAAGCATATATAAAAGGGGCTGCAGATTCTTAATTAGATTTTTCTAAACCAAAAAAAAAAAAAAAGTGAAATAAATAAAGATGACTGGAGTTCATAGAATGTGCAAGAGCGAATAGACACCAACATGAAAGCATGCATTTTCTGAAGGCTATAACTTACATGAAGTTACATAAGTGGAGTTCGTGAAATTCTTTGTTTATATATTCGAATCGGTTTATATAGAAGGGAAATGACGAATTGCAGGGTCAAAACACCCCTTGCTCTGTGGGATTATGCCTGTTGATCTTCACAATCTCTCCTAGTTCAAGAGATCAATAAGTTTTTTTGCATTGTTATTCTCAAAGAAATGAAATAAAAAAGAAAGTATAGGTCAAAAACACTTATGCTTGCAAACCTTACACACTCGCCCTTTTCTCTTGAAAATTAGTTTTTTCGACAGAATTGAGGCTGTTACATAAGAAAAACATGACATGAAAGCGTAGAGACAGTTCCAAACCTGCGATACCGTAAACCTGTCCCTTCCCAACTTTGCTTATGTGGTCCCCACCACCCATCCACCACGTGTCATCAAATCACTGGTGCCCACTTGGCCCTTTATCAGAACCTAAAAGCCAGCCACTCTGTCTGCCACCCCCCCATACCCCTCCCCTTACCTTATAACATTAAGTCATTAACATATATCTAAATTTGTCATTTTGATCTTCCTGGTCAATAGTCTTCAAACGCAAACACCATATATTTCATGACAATTAGAAAGAAAATTTTAAATCAAAGGTAAAATCCAGCAAATTAATGGAAAGTACGGATTCATCATCAGCCTCGCCTCACCCGCAACTCCCGCCAGGGTTCCGATTCCACCCGACTGACGAAGAGCTAGTAGTTCACTACCTCAAAAGGAAGGTTGCTTCTGCTCCTCTACCTGTTACAATTATAGCAGAAGTTGATCTTTACAAGTTTGATCCATGGGAGCTGCCAAGTATATAAATAGACCTAAATTTACATTCGACCATTTTCTGCTTGATCAACTCATATTTAGCCAAAATACTTGATGTACAAGTCTTTGAATTGTGCGATTTTGTAGGTAAGGCGACCTTTGGAGAGCAAGAGTGGTATTTTTTTAGTCCTAGAGACAGGAAATATCCGAATGGCGCAAGGCCTAATAGAGCTGCAACTTCTGGTTATTGGAAAGCCACAGGGACCGATAAGCCGATTGTAACTTCTAATGGAAATCAAAAGGTTGGAGTCAAAAAAGCTCTAGTATTCTATCGAGGCAAGCCTCCAAAAGGGATTAAAACAAATTGGATCATGCATGAATATCGCCTTGTCAACAATAATTCTACTTCAAAGCCACTAATTGTTGATGTACACAACAGGAAAGTTTCTTTACGGGTACGTGGGTAATCCGTTAAAGTCCCACATAAATATAAGCTTTAGATCATTAACTGATGTGTTTTTTTTTTTTTTTTTCTCTACTCTCTTCTATCTGCTTTGTGTTTTGGTTTCTGTTTTCAGCTTGATGATTGGGTTTTATGCCGGATTTACAAGAAGAATAATACCCAAAGACGGACGGAGAGGGGCAAAGACTATACCATGGAGGGCGTGCAAGCAACACTGCCAACTTCTAGCCATCAAAACCCAAGACTTCCAACATCGAAAGCCACAAGTTATGGTTCAACGCTAGAACATGAAGAGAATTTCTTTGAAGGGATATTAAAAGGAGAAGGCATGCAAAACAGTTCCATTTCACAAATAGCTGCGTCTTCAAGTTCAAAGCAAAATCTTTCCATGGCCTTAGCTGCTAGTACAACAAACTCAGGCCTTGTTAAACGTGCACTTCCTCCACAGAACTGGATTCAACCAAATTCAATAGAGTCACAGTCCTGCAAAAGATTCCAGGGTGATCTAAATAGTAGTAACACAGCTGGCATCGATGATACCAACTCATTTGTTTCTTTTCTCAATCACCTACCTCAAAACGCTCCATTTCACCCTGGCACGCTCGTTGGATCTCTTGGCGACCGGCAAAAGTTTATACTTGCTAGCTTGAATTGGAACTCTTAGTTTGGGTTCCAATTCAAGGCCTTGATTGATGTAACTTGTAAGTGTAACTAATTAAACATACATCTCTGTTATAATATGTGCAATGGTTCAAGCAGGATAACCAAGGTTATGGGGGCTGAATATTGGTATGGTCTTTGAATTTATTATTCGTTTTATAATTTTTGCCATTATTTCATGCTACATACTGATGAAAAAAAAAAAGCTAAAAGGACAAGAAAACCTACACCTTTCAAAGCTAGAGAACTGAACATTGAAGGGAATCTTGATTGTTTAACATAATTTGTTTTGATTCGCGAGAAGATTATGATTATGGCATATTCATTTGTCCTCTCATCTTAAATATAACATGAATCCTCTAATCAGTGGCGTCTTTAGTGTTGTAGTAAAAAAAAAAAATTATAAGTGAAATGCCTTCTAAAAATTATTGTTTTTATTATATTGACAACATTAAATGTCTAAAATTTATTTTTAAAAGTTAAAAAATAAATTTTATTTTAGTTTAAATTTTTTAATAATTTTATTTCATTACGAGTGTAAATTTAACTAATGAATTCAAAAAAAAAAATTAGCATGTATTTCTATTAATTTTTTATTAATCACATTTTTGTTTAATTTTAATTTTACTTTTTATTTATTTCTTATTAAACTTCTTTCTTCATTTTGTTGTCATCGTACTTTCCCCTATAGTTTTTTTTCCTTATGAGTTTGATCTAATTTATAAATGATTTGTTTGATGTATTGGATGTAATAATTATTTCATACATTATTAATTATTCAATAATACAAATATAATCTCAAATAAACACTAAAAAAATTGTATCATCTATTTACTTGCGTTATTATCTAACATTTTAATTGGTATGATAGAAAAAGAAAAAAAAAAGTTAATGAAACTATAGAAACAAATCTTTATTATGAATAAATTATAAAAAATATATATTTATTTAAAAATGATATTATATTGTGCCAAATTTTTTATATTTAACTTTATTAATGTTATATTAAGTAACAAAAAAAATTATATAAAAAAATAATCTTATAATATTGACCCACTGACACAAATTCCTACCTCTAACCAAAATCAAAGCTACATATATCCAGCGACATGTATATATTAGTATTCACATAAAATGTATTTGAACAATAAGCAGGTTATTATAAAATATTGAAACAAAAATTCAAGCATATATTTTTTTTCTAATTAGAAAGTATAATAGTTTATTTTTTTGTTATTCATTCAAGATAAATTTTTAATTATATTATTTGCATTATATTCAAATACATTTTTAAAGCAAAAGGAAAATGCTAGAAAAATTAATAATCCAATAATAATTACATGATTGCATGCAAGATTGATTATAAAATTAGATTTTCAAGTGAATGTAAGTTGCATAATTTATATAAGAGGGATCGTTTAAACCAATAAAATTAATTAGGTTTTACATTATTTTATATTTTTATATAATTTATATTTTGATAATCCCACCATTGGATTTAATGTTTTTATTTCATGTAGATCATACATATTAAATTTTAATTTGATTAAAAATGCATACTTATTTTTTACAATCCAAAATTTCAATCATTAAATATATTATAAAATAACAAATTATTTACTGATATAATATAAATATTAAATTGATTTAAAATTTTACATGCGTGATAAAAATAATACTATTATTAAATCTAACGATTGATTTTTTAAAACATTTTTTGTACAAAAAATTTTTAAAAAAAATGAAAAACTTGCCCCTCCCCCACACATACGTACACACATATACATATATACATATATATATTTATATATAGGATCAAACAATTTATTAAAGTATATAACCTTTGCTATAAAATATAAAATGGGAAAGCCAAGCCAAACTAGGGAATTTAATGTGAGAGATATGAAAGAATATATTTGGGGCCATAATTTCCAAAAATGACGTATGGTTAATCCAAGGACAAGGTCATAATCAAGCTGTTAAAGGTTGCTTAGTCAACAACATATAATTAAAAAAAAAGTAAAAGAAAAGATAAAAATCTTTTTGCACGAGCTAGCTTTTACTTCACTATGGAATGTTGTTGCCTCATGGCTATGACGTTTCGTCCTGGCATTGGCTTGAAATAAAACCACTTTGTGCTGCCATTTTTATTGGTTCAAACTTGGTCGATCGTGTCATTTGATCATTGCTTTTAAGAATGAAAAAATAATAATAATAATTGGGTTTTAATTAAGGACATGATAGGATTAGGGTGTCATTTTCTTTGAACTTATTAGGCATAAGAAATTAAAGCAATTTCTATCTAATTAATTAGGTTTTCAAAGGTCACATTAATCATGACAGCAAGAACTATACATCCCTCCACAAATTGTTTTTGCTTTGTTGACAATGGAGTGGCCATCTAACCTCATTAAGAAGAATCATAGCTTAATTCAAAATTAATTTAGTCCACTAGTCACTTTCCTTTCTTGATAGAGATAAGGAAGAATTTTTTTTATAAAAAATTGTTATAGTGCGGGATAAGAAAAAATATTACAATTGTTAAATTTGAATTTCAAATTTATCAAATACAATTTTTTTTAAAATTATTACATAAATTAATTAAATTAAATTTTTAATTTAAGATTTTTAAGTTTATATAATTATAATTTCGTTGTGAATGGATCACCATCTCATCTAAAAAAAATATTTTTTATTCATCTAGAATCGATCCTCTCGTATCATATCTTATAAATTTATATAATCAATTAATTAATACCATTAATTTCACCATCAATAGTACTCATTTAATACTCCATTAAAAAAATATTTTGTTTAAACAAAAAATTGATGCAAATGTATTCTTCTATTCTCTTTTTCAATGAATAGTTCTTTATACTGAGCCCAAACCAAATACTTGGTGGGCCCCGAATACTGATTGTAAGGGGTCCTCTCTTTAATAAAATAATATTTTTATTCCAAAAAATCAAAGGGATTTTTAATTTAGATTTTTTTTTACATTGAAAAATCACTTTTTTTTTGTTATTTAATATTAAAATCAGATCGAAAGCAGTTTTTTAATGCAAAAATTATTTTCGATAACAATACAACTTGAAATCCAACCAAAATTATAAGCCTGAATCCAAAGAATATCTCAAATTTTAATGAATTTAGATGAAGACAAACAGATCATTGACATTTCAGAAAATTTCTAAGAACATGTGTTTCATTCACGCAAGTCTTGGAATTTTCCAAAATAAGTCAACAAGTACTATTTTATGTGGACTTATGTACCAAATTACAAATTGAATAAGCCCAATTAATGTGGCAGTTGTTTTCACGTGCCGAAAGTGCATATGATTCATATGTAACGTACAAGTTATAGCATGAAATAAGCAAACAAGCTGGACATTTTTATGATCTCGGAGCGAGTCTAGATTTAGAAAAAAAAAAAAAAATTTATATTCGATACATTATTGATATATAAATTTTGTTTATTATTAATTAATCAAATGATAATAATTTATTAATAAAATAAATTTGATTATAACATTTTATTAACAAATAAATTATTTTAATTTATATATATTTATTTTAAGAGTTGATATTTATTTATTAATAAATTATTATTATCAATTCATTATTAATGTATAAAATATATATATATTAATAGTATTAAATATAAATTTAAAAAAAAATCAATTACAATTCAATTTATAATAAGGCTGGACGTCATATGGACCACGTCTGCACAACAGTTATTGGTCGATTTCAGACATGGAATACAACTATTGGTGAGAAACCAAAGGCTCACAGTCTTCCCGGGGTCAATTGAATTGGAATAAAATTTTTTGTCTGATATCAAAACTATTGTAATCCTAACATATTGCGTGTATCTAAACTGAAATTGCATTAATTCGGGGCATAAATTGCATTTATATTTGTTTAAATATGATTAGATTAAATTTAACTTCCTTTCTTTCTCTTTCTTTTTTTTTTTTTTTTAATGCGCTCATGTCAACATTTATATGTATAAGATTTATTAGTGAAAAATCAAAATTATATATATAAACCGAAATTAAATCTGTGATTCACATGTGATTGTTCATACGTACTTGGACCGACAGCAGCATCTATCTTAAATCAACAACATAAACATGAATATCATGCTTTTTCCATTTTTGGGGCATGAATTAAGAATCTGTTCAAGGATCTTTTAAATAAATCTCAGATTTTTTTGATTGATAAATAACACTCACAGACAAGGGAGAAAGGGATAAAGAGTTGTTTCGGAGTTCTTTCTCTTGTTTGTGTTCTAAGCAATAACTAAGCAAGGAGGTCATGCATTTTTCAATTCAAGCATTAGTTAAAGAGATAAAGGAGGAGATGTTGTTGGACATCGATTCTTACTCATTTGTTTCCCCTTCTGCCGATGACACTGCTTGGACGGCAATGATTGATCCTTTAGATTCCGGCCAGCCATGGTTATCACCCGTGTTCAAGGATTGCTTGGATTGGGTACTTAATAACCAGACAGAAGAAGGGTATTGGGGTGAGTGTGACGCCCATGGCAATCCCACCATCGAGCCTCTCCCTGCTACTTTGGCTTGTGCATTTGCACTCAAGAAGCGGAATGTTGGAAATCAAAATATAAAGCGAGGTACTCTCTCACAACTATGTATACATAAATTAGTGGATTGTATCACATCCATGCTTTAGATTAATGTTTTTAAATTTTATTCATGATAAACTTCAGGATTGGACTTTGTTCAAGGAAACGCTGAGAAGCTCATTGGAGTAACTTACGACCACTTTCCTCGTTGGTTTACCATTGTTTTCTCTGGAATGATTGAAGTTGCACATGAAGTTGGGCTCGAACTTGCCTTCCCTTCCCAACTAAATGGACTGTTGTTAGACATATTCCACAAACGGAAAAGGATCCTTGAAACGTAATTGCTCTCAAATTTTTACCTTAAATCTTTAGTGGTGGTAGAAGAAACTAAGCATGAATTTGTGACGATATAACTGACTTAACATTATTGACGTGAAACTTTTTCTCTAGCGAGCAACTTGTTGGCAATCAATATCCTCCGTTGTTATCGTATCTTGAAGCTATGCCTTCATCATATTATGTCACACC